AATGGAATAAGGACAGTCTTTTCAGCAAATGATGCTGGAAAACTGGACAGCAACATGCAGAAAAATGAACCTGGACCACTTTCTGACACCATACACAAAAATAAACTCCAAATGGATGAAAGACCTAACTGTAAGACAGGAATCCATCAGAATCCTTGAGGAGAAAGTAGGCAAAAATAAATAAATAAATAAATAAATAAATAAATAAATAAATAAATAAAGTGTTGGCCACAGCGACTTTTTACTCAACATGTCTCCAGAGGCAAGGGGGAAAAAAGCAAAAATGAATTATTGGGACCCATCAAAATAAAAACTTATGCACGGTGAAGGAAACAATCAGCAAAACTAAAAGGCAACTGATGAAATTGAAGAAGATATTTGCAAACGACATATCAGATAAAGGATTAGTATCCAAAATCTATAAAGAACTTATCAAACTCATCACCTCCCAAAAAATAATCCAGTGAAGAAATGGGCAAAAGTTATGAATGGACAATTCTCCAAAGAAAACATCCAGATGGCCAACCAACACATGAAAAAATGCTCAACATTACTCATAATCAGTGAAATACAAATTAAAACCACAATGAGATATCACCTCACACCTGTCCAAATGGTTAACATTAACAACTCAGGCAACAACAGATGTTGGTAAGGATGCAGAGAAAGAGGATCTCTTTTCCACTGTTCTTGGGAATGTAAACTGGTGCAGGCACTCTGGAAAACAGTGTGCAGGTTCCTCAAAAAATTAAAAATAGAACTACCCTAAGACCCAGCAATTGCACTATAGGTATTTATTTATTTATCCAAGGGATGCAGGTATACTATTTCAAAGGGGCACATACACCCCAATGTTTATAACAGCACTACCAACAATAGTCAAGTATGGAAAGAGCCCAAATGTCCATCAATGGATAAGTGGATAAAGATGTGGCATATATATACAATGGAGTATTACTCAGCAATCGAAAAGAATGAAATCTTGCCATTTGCAACTATGTGGATGGAACTAGAGGGTATGATGCTAAGCAAAATCAGTCAATCAGAGAAAGACAAATATCTTATGAACTCACTCATATGAGGAAAGCTTAGCATGGCTAAGCTGTAGCATCCTGCAAAGAGTACAGAGGTGGGGCAGTGGCAAGGGATAAGGCAGTGAAGATTCATTGGGACTATCCGTGAGGGACTAAAATGCCTTGCTAAGTAGTCTAGGCATTATTTTGCAGGAAATGAGTCACCAATAATAATTTTTAAAGGATGTAAGATTGTCTTTACAAACTGCCCCAGTCATGCTGCCAAAAGTTGTCTAAGAATACAAAGTTTGGTAATTTCATCAGATCTCCTGGTTCCTGGGGAACAGGAGTAAAATATATTCCTGAGAAAATTCTGCTCTGCGATCGAATATTAGCAATACATAATGTAATATACTGTGATTGACCAATGGATAAGCTCTAAATATTATATATTAAATAGGAATAATAAACATGTGAAATGAGTACCCTACTACAATCCCTTCCATCTTAAAAGATTTATGACTCTAATAACTAGTGAATAAGTGATCTAATTGGTATCTTAACAAACAATGTTTAATAGAGCACTTTCCGTTAGAAGAAATAGATGTGCAGCAAAAAATAGTAATGAGTAATAAATATAATAAAACAATATCTAAACCTATAATTACCTTTTAAAATTTGACATACTATTATATATTTTTTCTATAATCGTTTTTCGTTTGAATGTATTAAAGTTTCCTTTAGAATTCAGTTTGTTCCACTTGGTAAACTCTCCTGTCCCATCCTGTGAGAGTACATAAAGGACCCAATAGTACATATTTCCCAGTGTCTGTGGGGCTCCTTACTCCTGGCATCTTCAGCACCTGCTCTCAATCCTCTCTCCTGGTTAAAGCAAAGGCAATTTTTAAGCTGATGCTCTGTGTTCCAAGTTCACACCCACTTCTCTACCTATTTCTTTTACAGTATAGTCTCCTTAATGTATCTATAAACTTATTAAATCCACAAATACAATCACAAAATATAATTTTGTCCCAATTCTCATTTTACATATAAGGACAAAAAGACCTAGGGATAGTGAAGGATTTAGACTTGGAGTTTGTTCAAGACCATGATAGCCAAACAGTGACAGAACCAAGACTTTAAAAACCTTTCCTTTACTCCATGTAGACTGTGTTTCCACATCAGTGAGTCAGAAGTCAGGAAATGGACCTATCAGTGGGCATGCTATCAGCACTTCCCAAAGGTTGATTGGATAATTGGAGAATGGTTGAAGAGCTGGATGAAAATCAGAGTTCTCACAGAAACTAGTCTCCAACCAGAAAAGATGGTCCTGGTCAAGGCCAAAAGAGGGGCCATTGCCAAGTGGGACTTATTGGTTCAACAGATGTCTATGGAACATAAATACTATCAATACTATCAAGTACTGGATACAATACCCTAAGGTACTGTTCTAGATTTCAGGAAGACAGTACTAATGAAACAGATAAAAATCCCTGCCTTCATAAAGAAAATGAGAAAAAGAAAATAAGCAAAATAAGTCTCTGTACATTGTAAGGATTATATGTGTGTTACACAGACACACAATGTATGTGTATATGTATGTATATATGTATGTATGTATGTATGTATGTATGTATGTATGTAAGATGGATGGACCTGAGTAATAAGTGCTAAGGAGGAAAGTAAAATGGGGATGGGGTGAAATTTTATATGAAGTGGGCAAGAAAGGCCTCACTGAGATGACTTAAGTAAACAGTTGAAGGAGTGAGGGCTCAGCTGCATGAGCATCTGCACATTATACACAGCGGGAGTGCCACCATTGAGCTGACAGTGTCTGGAATGGCCAGAGTGATGAGCACAGGGGCAGTGGAAGATGAAGCTAAAGAGGGGAGGTAGAGGAGAAATTATGTAGGCCTTGTCATTTTGGCAAGGACTTTAGATTTTACTGAAGACAAAAAGCCATCTGTTTTCAATGTCCTCACTCATTTCCTTTTACTTACTTTCAGTTAAATTACACAATTTATGTTTTTGCAGATTCACCATGGCCAGTGTTGAAATGAGCCTGCTTAGAACCAAGGACAGATCTATAGGCATCCATTAGGAGGCCATTGTAGTAATCCAGGTGACATTGGATGTGGCTTGGATAAGAGTGGTTGTAACACAGAAGGGGATGAATGCCAGGTTCTGGATATATTTTTAAGATTGAACCCACAGGATTCACCAAAAGACTAGTCATGGGTGTGAGACAGAAAGGTAAGTCATAGATGATAGCAATATTTTTTAAGTTTATTTATTTTTGAGAGGGAAAGAGAAAAAGCAGTGTGCATGTGAGCAGGGGAGGAGCAGAAAGAGAGGGAGAGGGAAAATCTCAAGCTGGCTCTGCATTGTCAGCACAGAGCCCAAGGTGAGGCTTGAACCCATGAACCATGAGATCATGACCTGAACCAAAATCAAGAGTCAGATGCTTAACTGACTGAGCCACCCAGTTACCATGATATCAAGATTTTTAACCCGAGAAACTGTGATAGGCCAGTCTTACCTGTATACAAATACCTTTAATACCTGCTGAGGACCAAGGTCGACGCAGGAGGCATGCTGTGTGGATCTGCTAGTCCAGGAAGAACAACCTAAGTCTAAGCCCCTAGTCCCAAATATCTCCACAAAGAAAAGTGGGGCCTCTGGCATTCCATTACTGAAGGACTTTGTAAAAGAGAGATTTGGCTGTGCCCCACTGGACTGATCTGGTCTTATACTACTTGATGTGTTACTATTGATAATTAAGATGTACTGGGAATTGTGCTGGATATAGAGCCAAGACCTCCTGAGCTCTGACCCTGGTTTCTCCACTAGCCTGCTGTGTGCCTTTGGACTAACTCACTTACCCTCTAGGAGTCTTATTTGCCTCAACTGTACAGTAGTGGCAACAGTACTACCCTGTCTGCCTCTCAGAGGTTCTCAGAAGCCTAAAAGAGGTAATGTGGGTGAACATGCCTTATAAGGTAAATACATTTTAATGCACAAAATAAGCTGCTGTTTATATCCATCTGCCCCTCCAAATCTACTTTCTATCCTTCTTCACTCTTGTGCTGTGGGAAATTAACATATAAGGACCACATCAACAGGCTCCCTTGACCTCAAGTTGGATTGATCTAATTAGGAGTCCTTGCAAGAGTTGGGAAAGCAGGTGGAGAGTGAGCTTGGGATTATCTACTCCCTTTGAGCTCTCTGGCCAGATTGCTGAGAACTGATCATATATTTTTAGTGACAGTTATAGTTCTTGCCAAGTGCCCTACTCCATACAGCTCTTTCTCTCCTGGTTCTGTTAACTGCTCCCTCTCCTCAATTTTTCAGGCCTAGGAGAGAAAAAAGTAACTCACCCTTACTGACCCTGAGGTGTTGCACTATCTCCTATGGTTTTCCTAACCTCCTGCACTTTCCCTTGTAAGTAGTCCCTTGTTATTGGGCTTTCATCTGTTACTCAACTTGACTCTGCCATTTGGTTTCTGTGAAGATCTAAAGTATACAATTATCAAGCTATGGCCCTTATCTCTGGTGATTCTTCAGGATAGTCCCATGCTTTTATCTAATGTTTTGGGCTAAGAATAAATTCCTACTAATTGGCTATCTCCTTGATGGTTATTCTAGGAAAGGGAGATTCCGTTTTTCAATACATAATGTTTGGAACAGAATTCTCAGTAGAACACTCTGAGGGTTATGATTTGGGGAAATTCCACATAAGGGGAAATTAAGGAAGAAATAAAAGGTAGATGTTGACCACTGCCCCACTTCCATTCTACTTTAGATTTTTGGCTCATTCTTCTGAGGTTGTATAGCTTTTTCCTAAGAGATCAACCAATTCTTCAATACTTGAAGAGTGATGCGAGTAATTATATCATTAACTTAACCAGTATAGTGACCAGATAAGATTTTTGGTCAGTCAGGCATAATCTTCCACATACTAAACCATTTCTGTCAGCTAAGGCCTACCTTGCAGATTTCCCTCTGGGCTCTGGGAATCCAGGGGTTTTCATCCCCGGAAGGCAACATCTCCTTCAGGCCTTCAATGGTTTGGGATCTTAGTGGTAGGCATGGGCCAATCTGTTCATTCAGGTAGAGTTCACATATTCTGTTGCCCAGCATGTGCTGAAAGACAGTATTCCCAGTCTTCCTGTTACTTATCAGGACACTGAGGAAATGGTGCAGGTCCTGCCAGAGGTCTAGGAGTTGGATCTCCACTTTCAAATTCTGCTTTTTCAGGTAGTCCCGGAAGGGACCCCCTGCACAGCCATCAGCACACAAAGCCCAGTGGGTGTACCCTAAGGAGATGCTTTGCTTGATGACCTCCTTGACTGTCATCTGCGGGCAGTCATTGATGATGGGGGTGACAGTCCTCAGGTGTGTAGATAACGCTGTCTCAAAGAGGCCCTCCATGTGGAGGTGGCTCTTAGATTTCTTCTTCATGCTGGATTTCTTGACACAGAGAATATCCTTTTTCAGGGGACTGATTATTCTCTCCTTTGAAGAATTCACTTTCGGGGAGGGCATTTGTGGATGTTTGTATTTGTATGTGTCTTTCTCCTGAGAACACGCATCCTGGAGGAGCATAATGTTGGTTTCTGGCCTGGTATCTATTTCCAGTATAAAGCCATGGTCTATCAACTGCCACATCCTCCTCTTGGTCTTCTTGCTTGAGTACCGCTTCTGGGGTTGGTGGCACTTCTTGATGCTCATGTTTAGAGGGAGTTCTCCTATGTGACTACAGCAAATACTGTACAGACGAGTCTCATATTCCTGCAGAAGGCCTTGGCATGATTCCACTTTGGCCATAATCGTCATGGCATGGGTGTAAAAGTTGGGGAGCCAATAGCTCTGAAGTTTGAACAGAGCTACTTTCTGCATGTGGCTCAAGATCTCCCTCCTGGTGGTTGATTGGTTCGGATGCCAGATGGAGAGGTTCAGGAGGGACTCTGGAAAAAATAGAAAGACATGAAGGATGAAAATGATGTAGTGGTGGCAATGAGAAACAATGAAACCTGGCCATGTATAGCAACATGGATGGACCTTGAGGGTGTTATGCTGAGCGAAATAAGTCAGGCAGAGAAGGACAAATATCGTATGTTTGCACATATAGGAGGATTAGGAGGAACTTGACGGAGGAACAAGGGGGAGAAGAAGGGCGGAAATGGTGGGGGAAAGAGAGAGAGGCAAACCATGAGAGACTCTTGAATGCTGACAAAAACTGAGGACTGATGGATGTGGGGGGGAGGGGGGGATGGGCATGGAGGAGGGCACTTTGGGGATGAGCACTGAGTGTTATGAGGAAACTAATTTGACAATAAACTATTTATAAAAAAAAAAAAAAGAAAATGATGTAGTGGTCGTGATGATAATGACGTTGGGAGAGGTTTTTTGAATTTTTCCAAATGTTGTTATGTATAGTATTTCATTTGTTCTTCATGCAACCCTGGAGTATGTACAGGACAAATATATCGTAAACATGTTTTTAGGGGTTTTCTCAGGGAAGTGAGCTCTTTCTCTGATTACCTTCCCATCCTCCCACAGAAATAAGCCAGTTTATGGGATGCCTTAAATTATTTTTTAGACAATTGTATGTTATTGTAAAGAAAAGCAAATGAACAAGAAAATATGTTTAAAAATAATAGGAATGTGGAGGCGCCGGGGTGGCTGAGTCTGTTAAGTGTCTGACTTCGGCTCAGGTCATGGTCTCACGGTTTGTGGGTTCGAGCCCCGTGTTGGGCTCTGTGCTGACAAAGCCTGGAGCCTGTCTTTGGATTCTGTAACTCTGTCTCTCTCTGACCCTCCCCTGCTCACGCTGTCTCTATCTCTCTCTCTCAAAAATAAATAAAACATTTATAGAAACCAACTTGACAACAGACTATTTTAAAAATTAATTGATTAATTAATTAATTAAAGTAATGTACCTCTGAATGGGATTTTTCAGAGTCAGATCTACTTGAAGGAAGGGATTTAGACTGGATAGTTTGAAGGAGTCATTACCAGCCCTGATTTTAATGTCATAAATTCTCAGTTATCTCTATGAATAGAGGAGTGTGACCAATCTCAAACCACAAATCTTCTGGAGCATACCCGTATTTGGGTCAGGAATGCCTCCTTACTTAATAAATAAATAATTTTGAATGAATCTGATGTTCTAGAGTAGAGGCTGGCAAACCTGTAAAAGGCCAGGTAGTGAATATATTCAGCTTTGTGAGCTCTATGCAGTCCCTGCTGCACAGTTTTCTTCTTTAGCTCTTAAAAATGTTAAAACATTCTTAGCCCATAGGCTATATGCACTATGTTTTGCCTGTGAGCTGTATTTTGTTCTAGGGAATCTCTTTTTTAAAAAAGAGATGCCATGCAGTCTCAGAAGATGCAGGATCTATTTAACTACACTGTCCCAATTTGTCTTCATTCCTTCCAGTCAATCTTCACTGGTGAGTAATATCTCAGGAAGAAGCACATACCAGCCTAAGGGCACTAGTCTCTTGGAACTCTTCCCTGTTAAGGGTTCCCATGGCATCTCTGATACATAGAAAATGGAGAGAGTAGATGCCTACAAAAGGATTGATTAGTTTGTTTGTTCATTTCCCAGTGATTTCACTTCACATATGCTTTATGATTCTTACTGATGTTCATGTTGCAAAGAGTCACTACTCTTGAGCCCTCCTGTAAATGGGTAGCCTTCAGCACAAGGAGGAGGGACAGATAGTGATCTCTCATTTCCAGGTCCATCTCATCTATGCTCAAGATCTTCTCAGCAAGGATCCAGAAATCCACCAGCTCTTCACCTACAGATTAAACAGGGCAAGCACAGTGCTACACCCCAATGTTGCCCCTTTAGAGGTTACATCTGGGTGTAGCAGCTAATACCACTCCCCACCACCAGTCTGCTCTATTGCCTCAAATATTACCATTAGTCACTTCTTTGGGTTCAGGCATCATTCCTAGTAATGTCGTAATGTGGGGGCAGATGGAGGCATGGGGAGAAGGGACTTAATGGATACGGATCTTGTGTGACTTTTCTTGTTGTTGTAAGGAAAACTCACTTTAGGGAAAACTGAAAGACTCTGAGAATGAATCATGAGACACTTGAATTTTCCAAAAAATGAAGATTAGAAGAAAAAAGAACATTTCCTCTATCATGGACCCAGAATAGCCAAAAGAAGGATAATAGAGCCTAAAGATGCCAAAGGCGATGCTCCTTGTTTCACAACTTTGCCAGGGCTGGAGTCTGAGTGACAAACCAAAAGATAGCCTGTTTAGGGGCACCTGGGTGGCTCAGTCAGTTGAGTGTCCAGCTTTGGCTCAGGTTATGATCCCGCAGTTTGTGGGTTTGAGCCCCGCATCAGGCTCTGTGCTGACAGCTCAGAGCCTGGAGCCTGCTTCAGATTCCATGTCTCCCTCTCTCTCTGCCCCTGCCTTGCTCATGCTCTGTCTCTCTCTGTCTCAAAAATAAATAAACTATTAAAAAATTAAATTAAAAGAGATAGCCTGTCTATTTCTTCTCTACCTGCTCCCTGGAAATCCAGGATTTCACCCTTAAACTAGGGCTTGTCCTTGGATGAAGTTTAATGCTGCTGAACTGGAGTGTCAGCTAGTGCTAGCTGCTCACCTCCCAGCACTCATCAACCACTGAACTCAATGGAACAGAAAGCAGTGCATGTGAACACTTCTGCTATAGGGATTTGTTTATTTATTTGTTCCTTGTCTGTCTCCCCACCACTGTAATAGCTTTAAGAAGTAGGGATTTACAGTTCTTGTTCACAGAGGCTGCCATACAGTGATGCTCAACAAACATTGTTAAGTGAATAGATGGATGGATGGATGGATGAATGAATGAACAAAATAAAAGGACTCTTTACTTTTACCCTAACTTACACAGTGGACCCATTTTCAAAGACTTTTACACAAACTACAGTATAAAACATTTGTTTCCATTATGGGTACATTACTGTCAATAAGTGTTTTGGGGCATTCTGGAAGCTGTTAAGAACTTGCAAGGACTCCAGGAACAACTCCAAGAACCTACCTGTACTGCCCTTGAGGTAGGTACAGAAGCGCCACATCCCTCTGACGCCACCAATGCACTTCTGGAGTAGCCACTGGTCTGCTTTTTTCCATCTCAACATCTTGGCTGCCAGGAAAAGTCCATGGTGTGAGAGAGAGGGAGAGAGAATGAGCTCTTCTCCCAGCCCCTCTCTCAGCCTTGCACACAGCTAGATCCCCATTCACTCAGGGTGAATGAGGAAAAATCGTGGCCATTTAGATGAGTTGGGTTAGGAGTATGTGGTATTTTTGAAGGTAGGAAATAGACCCTCTACTGACATATGAGGGACCCACAGGTACAGTACAATCCACAGATCAAAAACACCACCCAAGACTCCTTGCCTTCTATAATCCCCACCTGACAGTGATTTTGCCAATCCAATTTTCCCAAATGTATATATTGAAGAAAGGAGATGTGCATATTTGGTACCTTGTTATATTTTGCTCAATGTAAATCCCCTGAATCTTGACTTTCCCCCAGGGTGGAACATAGTTTCCTTTGGTTAGTTGAATCAAGAATCAAATTATCGATTCAACCCTAGATGGAAATTTTATTAATTCATTCTTTTAACAAATATTTATTAAATGTCTACTACTTAGTATCATTCTAGATGTTTGGGATACATTAGCAAACAGAAAATCCCTGCCCTCAAGGAGCTTACATTCTGGTGAAGGAGACAGAGATAATAAGCAATAAGCCTAATAAGTACATTATCTAGTAAGGTTGAAGGTTATAAGCACTACAGAAAAAAAAGGGAAGGTAAAAGAGAGTAAGGCAGTTGGGATTGCTAGGACAAGAGTTGGATGAGTGGCATTAGGGTCATCAGGGTAGCATCTTCTAAGGAGGTGGGATTTGCACAGAGATTTGAAGAAGGAAGAGAGGGAGCCAGTGTGGATATATTGAGAAAGCATTTCCAGGCAAAGTGAACAGCCAGTGCAAAGCCTTGAAATGAGAATGCATTTGGGAGGATTTTTGAGGAACCGCAAGCAGGCCAAGTGTAACTGAAATCGAGTAAGCAATGGAGGGAGTAGGAGGAGATCAGATCCTAAAAGTAATGGACCTGCATCTCAAGGACTCTGAAGACCTAGAGATATAAGGGCGTTAGATTTCACACTGAGATGGGAGTCATTGGTGGGGGTACGGAGCAGCCAATAGAGGATTTACATGGCCTGAATTAAGTTTTAAAAGCCTCTCTCTGGGTGCCTATGTGGCTCAGCTGGGTAAGCATCTGACTCTTGGTTTCAGCCCAGGCCATGATTTCACAGTTTATGCGTTTGAGCCCTGCTTTGGGTTCTGCACTGACAGAGCGGGCCCTGCTTGGGACTCTTACTCCCTTCTCTCTGCCCCTCCCCTGATCATGCTTTCTCTCAAAAAATTATTATTATTATTATTATTATTATTTGTTTTAAAGGCTCTCTCTGGCTGCTGTGAGCAGGAGAACAAGAGCAGAAACAAGAAGACTAATTAAGAGATGATTCAGCAGCCAGGTGAGAAATTGTGGTGGCTTAGACCAGGTGGTAGCAATGAAAGTGGTGAGCTGTGTTTGATTCTGGATATATTTTAGGCAGTTTTGCCATGTTCTGTGTCCACCATAACTTTCTCACTTCTGGCTGCAGTGAGACAAATAGCACACACAGCCTATCTGATTCCTGCTTATTGCTCTAATACCAATTTTTCAGCCTAAACTTTCACCTACTGCTGCAGTACAAGCTCAGGCACCCTCACATCTAAGTCTACAAAGGTGACCAGTATTTGTAAATTACAGTAGGACTGACAGGCACAGGATCATTATGCAACCTGGCTTTGTATATTTCTCCACATGTGCGCGCGCGCGCACACACACACACACACACACACACACACACACCCTCATGCTTACCTCCTTCTGGGGACTTAATGAAACTGATGAGCTCCTGACAGAGAATATAATGGAAACACAAGTTGGTTTTACAGAAGAAAGGTAACCGGTATTTTTCCAACCAGGTCAATAATCCTTTGTACTTTGCAATCTAGAGTACAAACAAAATGGGAACAGAAAAGAGAAATGGAATTGAACTGCTAAGAAATGCAGCTTAGCCAGTGGCAATAAATAACTTTACGCCTGCAGTATCTGGCCCACAGGGGAGGTGTGCTGATTACAAATAGTATGTAAGAGGAGTGAAGGCCTGAGCCGAGGCTCCCAAAGGAGTGAATAAATTGGTAGGAAGGAAAAGGCTTGGTCTTTCATTAAAAAATTTTTTCTTATTCCTGGGTGAAGTTGTTTAAGAAAACATCTAAGTCTTGCTAGATAGAAGAGAAGCAGAAGAAATGTTGGTCTGAGGTGTCAAGTCAACTCTATTCAATTTGCTTCTTTGTAAGCACAATTAAAATTTCTCACAGTTCCTTACCTATATCAGATGCACAGCATGTACAAAAACACACAAAGGGGCATCTGTGTGGCTCAGTCAGTTGAGCATCTGACTCTTGATTTCGGCTCAGGACATGATCTCACAGTTCATGAGTTCAAGCCCCACATCAGGCTCTGTGCTGAACAAATGGAGCCTGTTTGGGATTCTCTATCTCCCCGCCCCCCATCAAAAACAAATAAATATAACATTAAAACACACACATACACACACACAAAGACTCACATTACATTTAACATCATTTAGAGTATATGTTGGATCCCTGAGGGATTGAGCCACCAGAGAAGGGAGAACATAAAATTTTTCTTTTTGCCTGTACCTTCCACTCCTCTTCACCCATTTTTCCCATTCTCCCATCCACTTCCCATCTGGCAACCACCAGTTTGTTCTCTGTATTTATGGGTTTGTTTCTTTGTTTATTTCTTTATTTGTTCATTTGTTTTGGTTTTTAGGTTCTGCATGTAATGGAATGCTTTCCCTTAATTTATTTTACTTAGCATAATACCCTCTAGTCCCATTATTTTGTTGCAAATGGCAAGACAAGATCTCATTCTTTTTTATGGCTGAGTAATACTCCAGTGTGTGTGTGTGTGTGTGTGTGTGTGTGTCTGTGTGACATCTTCTTTATCCATTCATCTATTGACAGACACTTGTAGTGCTTCCATATTTTGGGTATTGTAAATAACACATAAACATAGGAGTGTATATATCTTTTCAAATTAGTGTTTTCACTTTCTTCGGGTAAATACCCAGTCATGGAATTACTAGATTTTATAGTAGTTCTATTTTTAATTTTTGAGGAATCTCTATACTGTTTTCCACAGTGGTTGCACCAATTTACATTTTCACCAACAGTGCACAAGGGTTCCTTTTTTCCACATCCTCACCAACACTTGTTATTTCTTGTCATTCTGACAGGTGTAAAGTGGTATCTCATGATGCTCTGATTTGCATTTCCTTGATGATTCTTGATATTGAACATCTTTTCATGTGTCTGTTGGCCATCTGTACATCTTTGTTGAAAAAAATGTCTATTCAAGTCTCTGCCCATTTTTAATTGGATTTCTTTTTTTGGTGTTGAGTTGTATAGTTCTTTATATTTTTTATATTAACCCTTTATTATATATAACATTTGCAAGTATCTTTTCCCTTCACTAGGTTGCCTTTTTGTTTTCCTAATGGTTTCCTTTGCTGTGCAAAAGGCTTTTACTTTGGGTGCACCTGGGTGGCTCAGTCAGTTGAGCGTCCAAATTCAGCTCAGGTCATGATCTCGCAGTTTGTGGGTTTGTGGGTTTGATCTCACAGCTCAGAGCCTGGAGCCTGCTTTGGATTCTGTGTCTCCCTCTCTCTCTGCCCCTCTCCTGCTCATTTTCTGTCTCTCTCTCAGAAATAAATAAAACATTAACAATTTTTAAAAAATAGACATTATAAAAAAATTTTTTAAAGGGTTTTACTTTGGTGTAGTCCTGATAGCTCATTGCTGCTTTTGCTTCCCTTGCCTGAGGGGACATATATACAAATATGATGCTAAGGCCAAGGTCAAAGAGATTACTAATTCTTTCTTTCAGAATTTTTATGGTTTCAGGTCTTACATTTAGGTTTTTAATCCATTTTGAGTTGATTTTTGTGTATGGTATAAGAAAGTGTTTTCATTCTTTTGCATGTAGCTATTCTATTTTCTCAACATTATTTATTAAAGAGACTATCTTTTCTCCACTGTATATTCTTCCCTCCTTTGTTATAGATTAATTTATAAATGTATTTATCCACCATATAAGTGTGGGTTTATTTCTGGGCTCTGTCTCCTATGGATAGACCTATAGATCTATCCAATGGATAGATTTATCCCTAGATCTACCCACATTGATCCACATTGATCTATGTGTCTATTTTTGTGTCAGTATCATACTTTTTTGATTATTATAGCTTTGTAGCATATTTTAAAATCTAGGATTGTGATACCTTCAGTTTTCATCTTCTTTCTCAAGATTGCTTTGGCTTTCTGCAGTCTTTTGTTGTTCCATACACAATTTAGGATTATTTAGGAGTGTTTCTGTGAAAAAATACTATGGTATTTTGCAATACAGATTGGATTGAATCTGTAGATTGCTTAGGGTGGTATGGACCTTTCATAAATATTAACTTTTCCAATCCATGAAAATGGATGGTCTTTCCATTTGTGTCAACTTCAATTTCTTTGATCAGTGTTTTATAGTTTTCAGAGTATAGGTTGTTGACCTCCTTGATTAGGTTTATTCCTAGGTATCTTATCTTTTTTGGTGCAATTGTAAATGCAATTGTTTTCTTAATTTCTCTTTCTCTTATTTCATTATTAGTCTATATAAGCATAACAGATTTATGTTTATTAATTTTATATCCTGCAACTTTACAGAATCCATTTATTACTTCTAATATTTTTAAAAATGTAATTTTTTTGTCAAATTTGCTAACATACAGTGTGTAAAATGTGCTCTTGGTTTTTGGGGCAGATTCCTGTGGTCCATCACTTACATACAACACCTAGTGCTCATCTCAACAAGTACTCTCCTCAATGCCCATCACCCATTTTCCCCTCTCCCCTACCCCCCCATCCTCAGATTGTTCTTTGTATTTAACAGTCTCTTATGGTTTGCCTCCCTCCCTCTCTGTTTGTAACTATTTTTTTCCCTTTCCCTTCCCTCATGGTCTTCTGTTAAGTTTCTCAAGATCCACATGAGTGAAAACATATGGTATCTGTCTTTCTTTGACTGACTTATTTCATTTTATTGATGGAGCCTTTAGGGCTTCATATGTATTATGTCATGTGCAAATAGTGACAGTTTTGCTTCTTCTTTATCAATTTAGATGGCTTTTATTTGTTTTTGTTTTTGTTTTTTATGTGATTGCTGTAGTTAGAACTTCCAGTACTATGTTAAATAAAAGTGGTGAGAGTGGACATTCTTGTCTTGTTCCTGATCTTAGAGGAAAGGTCCCAATGTTTCATAATTGAGTACGATGTTAGCTGTGGGTTTGTCATATATGGCCTTTATTATGGTGAAGTATGTTCCTTTTAAATCAACTTTATTGAGGGTTTTTATCATGAATGATGTTGAATTTTGTCAGATGTTTATTAAGATTATCATATGATTTTTAGCCTTTGTTTTGCTAATGCGGTACATCATATTGATCATTTTGCAAACACTGAATCATCTTTGCATCCACAGAATAAATCCCACTTGTCACAGTAAATGATCCTTTTAATGCATTGCTGATTTCAGTTTGCTAATATTTTGTTGAGAATTTTTACATCTATGTTCCTCAGAGATATTGGCCTGTAGTTACCCCTTTTTGGAGTGTTTTTGTCTAGTTTTGGTATCAAGGTAATGCCAGCCTTATAGAAAAGAAGGTATTTGGAAATTTTCCTTCCTCTTCTATTTCTTAGAATAATTTCAGGATAATAGGTACTAAATTTTCTTTAAATGTTTAGTAGAATTCACCTGTGAATCCATCTGGTTCTGGACTTTGTTGAAAGTTTTTTGATTGCCTATTCAATTTCATCACTAGTAACTATTCTATTCAGATTTTCTATTTATTCCTGATTTGGTTTTGGAAATTATATGTTTCTATGAATTTATCCATTTTTTTATGTTGTCCAATTTTTTGGCATATAATTTTTTATAGTAATCTCTTATAATTCTTTGTATTTCTGTAGTGTTTTGGTTATTTCTTGTCTTTCAAGAAAATAAGGATTTTAAGTTTCAGGGGTTTCCTAGGGAAATCAAATATAGGAATCAGAGTGGAGTGTCTTTCTTAGCTCTTCAGGTCTCAGAGAAAAATAAAATTTTGTTGTAAGGCTTAGAGTGATCTTTCTGATCCCACATGCCACTGGTAGAGCATGCATAAGTCTGAGGTCTACACAGTGTAAAAGGAGAACAAGAAGGGGGGAAAGAAGAAGAGAAAGACAATGGACAAGGAAGACACCTAAAAAGAGAAAAAAAAGATTGGGAGAAAGACATGTTCCTGAAGGAGAATGATATGGTAGTCATTTAATTGCAGAGTGGCACCTTATCTTTATCTATGACTTATATTGCAAATAATCACTAAGTGGCCCATGCACTGCCACTTCCTATCCCACACCCATGGCAGGCATTGCCAATCAATTCTCAGGCTCTTTCTTGCTTACGTGTGGCCCCAGAATTCTTCTAAAATGGTGTTCTAAACATTTCCTACCCAATAATCCAGTGGATATGAAAGATGGATATCATTTGCTGACTAGAAGGTAGAGGAGAGAATTCGCCAACAATTGTCTGTCCAAGTAGTAAAAACACAAAAAGGAGAAATGTGTATGCTGGCTTGATGATGTTTGTCCTACTCACCTGCTTTATAGTTTCTTCCAGAGTCGCTTCTAGGCCTCCTTTCCCTTTTACCTCTCCATCTCTCACCCCACATTTCAAATATAGCTCCCTCTCCCCCCATCCCAAACCGCCTGCCATTCAGTAACCTTACCAAGTCATAAGGTAATTCTGGCCACAAGCTCCACTGTGAATTTTCAACAGCATAAAATGGTGTCTGACCAAAGACCTGCAAAAGAAAGCTAGGAAATAGCCAGAGGAGTAGAACTTCTCTTCATAAATATGCCCCAGTCCAACTGCAGCCCAGGGGAATGGGGTTCCATTGATTTCCTATTTCAAGAGATATTCTTAAATTCATTCCACTAAACCAACTGCCTTGCAGAAAAACACCCAAAATAGAATAAACTGCAAGATTCATTCATCTTTGGGGTCAACTCTGCCCCAAACTGGGAGTTATCTTACCTGTGTACAAAGGCCAAAGCCCATTATATTAAAAGGTATTTACTTTTGTATTGCATTATTAATTTCTGCATGGGTTTAGAGAGTTAGAGCAAATGTTGGAAACCTTTTTTTATAAAGAGAAACAGCTTTGGATTTGCCTAAGCTCTTGAACTGAAGAAAGTAGAGGGGCCTAAGGATATGAGGATTAGTGATATGAGGATCACATTCTAAGTGATGGTATTAAGAGTGTCCAAAATTTATAAATAATTCTAGGTTACTTTCTTGGACTAGGGACTGTGACCTTGGCAACTAGCTTTGAGACTGATGGGGAAGGGCTTCTATGTTTATAGATATCTAAGCTTAGCAGTCTCAACATGGGTATCAACATGTCTCAAAGTACCCCTACATCATTTGTGATGACTAGAGGGGCTGAAGTCTTAGAACATTATGTCAGCCTCCATCTCTCCAGAACTGTCAGCCCCAAATTTTGTCAGTCTGAGACCCTCTCCTTCTGTCCCCTTTGTCCTTGGCTATGAGATACATAAGGAAGGCAATGGTACTGATTGTACTTTACAAATATCAGCCTGTGAATGAGGCTCAGTCCATAGTGACTCCTCACTGCTCTCTGTACTCAGGGTTTGACATGACATGCCCTGCCTGGCATGTGAAGTTGCTTTTATGAGATGTGTGGTGGGACTAAGAAGTTATGAGACTGTGTAGGAATAGTGCATGGAAGCAGTTTCACTATGTGACCTTTGTACCACAGAAAGCATGAGGCCAATGTGGAAAACATGCCATTTATAGAGAGCTCCAGGACTTCCCCAGATGTGTCATGTTTTCTTGGGCAAGTCATTGAACTTCTGGTGTCTATCTCACAGGATGATTATAGAAATTAATGGCCAAAATTTGTAAACTGACAGCAGTATTCAACATGAACTAATATTGTCTCTCTAAATAAACCATAGCTGCCCAAATGGCCAAGGCTTTCTTACATTCTTGGCTGGGATTCTAGTTTCCACATCATTCTCACCTTTTCTAGAACATTATTGTAGACTGCTTAAGTTGTGTTGATGAACTGACTAACTACAATGCCTCAAAATTACTTCTGCAACCTTTCATTAAGACAGTGGCACCACCTTCCACCCAGGCACCTGACTCCTCCCTTCTTGTTATCACCTCCACTTGACATTCAAATAGTGACAAGGTCCTATATTTTTCTTTATAAAAAACATCTCTAATTTGTTCCATTCTCTTCATCCTCTTGCCTTTAAACCCCCATCACTGAAACAACCTCCTAACTGGTTTCCTTGCCTCCATTATGTTCCCCTGATGGCCAAACCTGTGGTCAGACTTCTGTGGAAATAATTTGCACAAATCAAAGTCTGATCACGTTACTCCTTTACTTGAAGCCTCTCAATGGCTCTCCATGACCCTCAGAATGATTTCCAAACTCCTAAGCATGGCCCACCTGCTCTCAGAGGCCTGGCTTAGCCCGTCTTGAAGTTTTATCTCTTGCTGTGTCTTCCTCTCACAACTTTTTCTTCAGACTTAGTTGCTTAGAGTTTCTCCCCAAGTCCCATAGGATTATTTTCCTTGGTGCCTTTACTCACTCTGTTCTGTCAGTAAGTCCTCTGCTTCTTAATACTCGACCCCCCAGTCTTCTCCTCCTACCTCTTTATCCACATTTCCCTCCCTATTTTCTTCCCCAGCCAATTGTCAGCTACATTGTCTCCTTTAAAGACTTGGCTTGTGTCATCTATTCTTTGAAGCCTTTCCTGACCTACCAGGTAGAAATGGTGTCTCCTTCTGATTCACGTGTACTCCAGGGCCTACTAGACACTCCTATCATGTCACACACAACCCTGTTTGCACTCACCTTAAATATTGCTCTCTCACATTAGACGAGGAGTTTCTTGAGAACAGTGACAGCATCATTAATATTTGCACCCCCAGTACTGAGCCCACTGAATGGCACAAAGTAACTACCCAATAAATGTTTGTGGGGTAGCGATAGTACAAAGTGGCTTTTTCCCAGTTGTATGACTTTCACCTTTTTTAAATAAGTGGGTATTCCATGGGAAAGGATACACTGAGCCACAATTTATAAAGCACCAACCTTAAAATATAACCAAAAACTTAAACCAAAAAGGATGTGGGATTCGTCTACGTTTGGCTCTGGTAATATTCTGACATTTGAGATTTATTTTATTTGCAAAGGTGGAGAAAATACGTATTTGGTTTCAGTCAGCAGCTCAACAATTGCTCTGTGCCAAATACCTGGTGAGGGGAGCAGAGCAGAATGAATAATCCATGGTCCCTGTCCTACAGGTTTTCACAGTCTCTCATTCAGTGGAAGACACACACACACACACACACACACACACACACACAACACAAGAGGGTTGCAAAGTGCCAAGGGGCACAGAAGCAGGAAGAAATAATTTCTGATTAGGAGAAGATAGAAATTTCTTAAGAAGAGGATTTAAGCAGAGATTTGAGAAACAGTTAAGACTTTGGTAGGTGGAATTATAAAAACCAACAACACAGCCAAGAAGGGGTGCAGAGGTGAAAGAATGCCAGCCCTATGAGGGTACAGTTGCTGTCACTGCAGCACTGGGTACCAGAGGGTGTGATGGGAAATAACTGTAGATACACAAAGGCACTTAAGGAAGCTGAGGACTTGGGATTTATCAATAATGGGAAACTCCTAGAGATTTTAAAGGAGATTCTGGTTATATTTATTTGCTCAAGTTAAACAGGTTTTGAGTTAGTAAGAAGTTTATTATTTTTTTTTAAAGGCACTCACCTCAGTGAGAATCACTATTCAGCTGTTGCTGAAACATTTGAATTTAATTCTGGGAATACTTACTGGGAGAGAAAGAAATGTGTTGAAAAAATCGGCAAAAATTTCATCTTCTAGCAGAATTATAAGGTTTGTAGAACTGATTATCTCTATATGGGGAGAAAAAAAAACCACCTCATGAACCAGGGTTGCATTCAGGATGAGAAAACGAAACAAGGGAATGGATCATGTCACATGACCAAACCTCAGCATTTGATGACCTTTAGGGTCATCTAACTTGATTTTTCCCTCTCTCCAGGACTCTTCTCTGCAATATCACTCTGCTTAAATACTCCCAGCGGTGGAGAGCTCACAGCATCTGAGGGCTACCCATTCCATTTATGAAGAGATGAAATGAGTAGGGAGATTTTCCTACTGTAAATCGCCTTCTTTTATCTTTTTCCATTTGTAGAAATTCTGCCCTCTGAAGCTCAAGAGAATTCATCTAAGTCCTCTTAAAGGGGACAATGCTTCCATATTCATAAAAACATCACAACCTTCTGTTTACCTCTGACCCCTCTCTGGTTAGTCTATCACTAAGCAATTCTTTAGCCATTCCTCACATGGCCTCCTTTCTGTCTGGGTCCTCTCTCTGTGGCTAAAGTGGCACTTAAAGCCCAAGCACTCTGCATGCTTTCCAGGGAAGAGCATTAGATAACTTTGCCCATATCGTATGTTCTATTAGTGTGGCCAAAACTGAGATTCACTTTGGGTGCTCTCAAATTACACTATTAACTCCATCATCCTTTATTTATGCAGTCATTTTTGGAAACTAAGGGCAGGAATTCACATTTATTCCAGTTGAATTTCAACTTGTTGATTTGGGCCCCCCAAGAGCTTTTCTGAATACTGATTTGGTCATGCAAAGTATTTATTACTCCTCTCAGGCTTGATCATTGTGCTGCCTAAGTCAATCTGAGGAAACGAATGTTGAATATCACAAAGCAAGCATAGATACCATAGGTGAACTCCTCTAAGGTTGCTCTAACTCACTCTCTGTGTTCTTTAACTCACAGTATTCAACTAATGAATAATCCAATTGTTTTACCAATGCTCAGCATTTCCCCATCGAACTCAAAGTTTACAATAAAAGATGTATAAAATGAGCAACATATACACTAGATCAGTCCCATCTCTTGGTCTAGTTAATTGTCTGGTGGGAATAGTCAGCGCCATTCACAATTGCTAGAATGCAGTTATGATAATAAGAAAACTAAACAATCCCCTCAATTACTTTTCCTGACGACTCTTGGTGGTTATTGTTTTTGTGTAATAGAAATAGAAATAGGAACCCAGACAATCAAATATTCTTGTAACAGAATTGATATCAGTTCTTGCCTTTTGCTAGAGAGGTCTCTGTTCTTTTTAGATGCATTCTCTGATCCATATCATCTATTCCACATAGATAATCCAAAATCTAGGTTTTCAGGCTAAACTTCTTTCCTTGGCTCTAGTTCTAAATATCCAATGAGCTATAGGACATCTCTCCACGGACATCCATCAGAACTTCAATCTCAACATTTTCAAAACTGATCTGATCATTTTGCTTTTTACTTTATTCCTAATCTCTGTTACTAGAACCACCACTCATCCAAATGTCTAAATCAGAACCCTGAACATCATCTTTTTGAGAGAGAGAGAGAGCATGAGCAGGGGAAGGGCAGAGAGAGGGAAACACAGAATCTGAATCAGGCTCCAGGCTCTGAACTGTCAGCACAGAGCCTGATGTGGAGCTTGAACTCACAGACTGTAAGATCATGACCTGAGCCAAAGCCATACACTTAACTGACTGAGCCACCCAGGCACCCAGAAATCTGAAAATCATCTTTTAAAAAAAATAGAGTTTATTTATTTATTTTAAGAGAGAGAAGAGCATGTGAGCAGGGAAGGGACATAGAGAGAGGGAGAGAGAGAGAATCCCAAGTAGGCTTTGCACAGTCAGCACGGAGCTGGATGTGGGGCTTGAACCATGAGATCATGACCTGAGCCAAAATCAAGAGTCAGACGCTTAACTAACTGAGCCACCCGGGCGCCCCCTGAAAATCATCTTTGATTACTCCTTTGCTCCGTTTCTCTCCCTCTTAAACACTCCCACAGGCAATGGATGACCATGCTATGTTGTCTCTCTTCCTACATATTTCTAAAATCTATCCTTTCCTCTCTAACTCAATAGGCACTGTCTTATTTCAGGCTCCCATCATCTCTCACCTCGACTTTATGGCATCAGTTTCTTATAATAATCTCCCTGTTTCCTTTCCAAGCACTTTCCACACACTGGCACCATAGTCTTCTGATGTTGTTAAAGCCCTTCAAAGACTACTCGATGTCCTAGAGACTATAAGACTTCACCATATCTGGCTTTTGGGTTGTCTGCCAGTACCATCTCCTACCACACCATACCATGCTGCCTTCTATTTGCCAGTCAAAATATTGTGCCTTCCTGCACATGCTATGCCCTCTCACTTTCAATCTTCATATTTTTGTTCCCATATTCCCATCACCGGAAATGTCCTCTCAACCAGTCTGCTTTGCAAATTGCTAGTCATCCATCAAGAACCAGTTTACATATAATCTTGGTGAACAAACCATGGTAAAATCTACCACAATAGTAAAAATCAATCACTACCTCCCCGCACCATTATTTACATCTCCCATTATTATAATTAACAAGTTGTTTTCATTTATTGATATATCTGTCTTTCTCAGTAGACTAAGCCCTATGAGAGGAGGAAGATGTCTTTTCATCTTTCTTCCGCTAGGCACTAAAAGTGCTTGCATAATGTCTAAGTTCTATAAAAGTTAAATGAATTGTTCTTCTAAGAGATCTTTAGTCTTTTGTGCTTTTGTTCAGTTGTTTGTTCATCATTGATAGAGCCTGGCATGGATTTCTTAATAAGATTATTGAGACAATCTGAATGCAGCAAAGAGGAGTTTGGCAGAAATTTCCCAAATTATTGTGTTCCATAGCTATACTCACTGTTGGCTTGACTATGACAGGGTTTGCCATTAACAAGACTGTCTTAGTGGGGTATAGAAACAAGGCTTTCCATATATTCCCCTTCTTACCTGTTTTGCCTTGAAACTTCCTAATAATTTGGGAAGGCCTTCAACATTCATTCCATACAATACTACTACTAACTTGGGAACAAAAGAAATAATTGGATAACCCCAAACTTCATGCTAGCCTTCTCCCTGAAAGAGACATGACACATGATGGCCCAAACTGCATTTTTCTTCCTACTTCTTAGTTGCCTTACTTGTCTTATGAATGGGGCTCTGTCCTATCCTCAAATGTTGGTTGGCATATTGTAGGGATGGGAGCTGGGGAGAAAAGGAAGAGAAAAGGAAAGCGAAGGGCATTAATAACATAAAAGCCACAGGTGGTATCCCTGAATGACAGATCTGTTAAGACTGGAAAGGTGGGTGGTTTGCCTTATCTAAGGGGGGTTAAAGTCTCAGAGACATCCCTCTTAGAGACTCACCAGCACTGCCCATGTTGCCATGCTTTCCCTGCCACTGTGATTAGTAAGGAGACAGAATTAGTCCCCAAACAATAGAACTCCACACTATGTGAACACACAGTGACACCTTCTCTAAGTGGTTCCAGATTCTATCAGGAAGTGCCTGCTCTTTTATCTCTGGGTACTCAATCTGAAGATAACTCTTTGTTACCTGATCTCCTGAATCTCCTGGAATGTACCAGACTCTTCCTGTACTTGGACTTTTAGTCCATACTATTTGTTATAAGTTGTTGTCGAGTTATAGATCCTGAGTTTCAGCTCTGTCTCCTTAACTTGACTTTATGGCTCGGGTAAGCAAGAATCTGTTCATTTCTTTGTTGTTGTTATTGTTGTTAATGTTTATTTATTTATTTTGTGAGAGAGAAAGACTGGGGGAGGTGCAGAAAGAGAGGGAGAGAAAATCCCAGGCAGGCTCTGCACTGTCAGCACAGAGCCCAATGAGGTGCTTGATCTCACAAACCATGAAATCATGACCTCAGCCAAAATCAAGAGTTGGACATTTAACTGACTGAGCCACCCACCACCCCATGTTAATTTCTTTCTTTTTTTTTTTAATTTTTTAAAATGTTTTATTTATTTCTGAGAGAGAGAGAGACAGCGTGAGCAGGGGAGGGTCAGAGAGAGAGGGAGACACAGAATCGGAAGCAGGCTCCAGGCTCTGAGCTGTCAGCACAGAGCCTGATGCAGGGCTCAAACCCATGAGCCGTGAGATCATGATCTGAGCCAAAGTCAGATGCTTAACCGACTGAGCCACCCAGGTGCCCCATGTTAATTTCTTTCTTTTTTAAAATTCTTTTTAATGTTTATTTTTGAGACACACACACACACACACACACACACACACACACACACACACACACACCAGTGAGAGCAGGGGAGAGGCAGAGAGAGGGGGAAACAGAATCTGAAGCAGGCTCCAGGCCCTGAGCTGTCAGCACAGAGCCTGACGCAGGGCTCAAACTCACAAACCATGAGATCATGACCTGAGCCTAAGTCAGACACTTAACTGACTGAGTCATCCAGGTGCTCCTTGTTTATTTCTAATGTGCCTTTTGAATCTAATATCCTTCTAGAAATTTAACAGCTACTCAGTGTATGTTTAATGACGTATCTTCCAGATAAGCTGGCAAATTCAACCTAATATCCAAGTGTGTTTTCCATCCCCTTTCCTTCTTCCCAAATACTTTCTCCTCTAGTTGGCTATGGGTTACTTTATAATCCATTGGCTTTTAAAGGTATAGAATAAACATTAATTGAATGTTTTCCATGAGGAAGAAGTTAGACTAGGTGTTTATACTTTGTTTTCATTTAATTCTTACCCTCAGAAAATAGAGATTATTACCTCCTTTTTACTGAAAGATAGTTGAGTGAGACACTGAGATTTTACTCTGCCATTTTGATTCATGAGCCCATGTTCTTTCAAATATGCTAGTAAATTGAGCCTACTTTTCACATGAAAAATGCATTTGAGTGGACTTAAAAATAAGCCCCTTGGGTTATGCTGAGCAAAATAAGTCAGGCAGAGAAGGACAAATATCATATGTTTGCACGTATAGGAGGATTAGGAGGAACTTGACGGAGGAACAAGGGGGAGAAGAAGGGCGGAAATGGTGGGGGAAAGGGAGAGAGGCAAACCATGAGAGACTCTTGAATGCTGACAAAAACTGAGGACTGATGGGTGTGGGGGGGAGGGGAGGATGGGCATGGAGGAGGGCACTTTGGGGATGAGCACTGAGTGTTATGTAGAACCTAATTTGACAATAAACTATTTGTAAAAAAATAAAAATAAAAAAAAATAAAATAGCAAAAAAAAAAAAAAATAAGCCCCTTGGACTTCCTCACAAGGATCTATTTTTCTGTATAATTCCTTCTACTACTTCTTATGTGTGTCCTTACATGTCTAATTAGACTTATTTCCTGCAGATGTTATAAAAGAAGTAGATAGTACCTAGATGGGAAGGAGTTACTTAGAAAAAGTTATCCTGTGTACCTAGTAACTTATCAGCAGATTGAAACAAAGCCATCTAATGTTTCATCAAATCAGGGCATAGGCAACAACTGGAAATTTTCTGTGACTAATTTTGACCCCAAAATTTCTAATCTAGATTAGTCCCCCATTCTTCTAGACCAGTCACTTCAGAAAAGACAAAGGAGGCAAGAGGCAATATGGGAAAGAAGTTATATTTGTCATTCATTTGAACTCTTCTCAAGATGGTATATCTTTCAACTGTAAACTGGGCCAGGCCCACTTATGTGCTATCATGACCAGTTCAAGGAAAAGAGCAGAAACCTTTTTTTGTCTACATGGAAACAGTTCTAGAAATGAAAACAATCATAAATGAAAAGAAAGGAAACATACAAATTTTCTGGAATATTTCCAGTTTACTAAGGTTTAAAATGTTATTGCAAGTTGGAGCATGAGTTTGTTCACAGAGAACAACTTGTGGTAAGATAAATGTTTAGAATATTTTGATATGGAAATTATATTTTGTTGCTCACTTTTTATTGCCTTAAATGGGTTTTAAGATTAAGATCTTGTTCACTTCAAGGATACATAACTGATTTGAGGGTAGTCCAGGCTTTGGGTCTGACTGACCACATTTAGATCGTTCTTTGCAATGTCCTAGGATACCTGTAAATTAGCACAAAGAGGGTCTTGAACGCTGAGTGGGGTGGATTTAATATGGTTTTATGCTGTTTTATATTGGTCACTCAGTTTCTGACCACTTGTCTTATTTGGGTGAATCTTCCTGCCCTGGCAGCAAGGACATGACAGAACTTTTCATCTTGGAGGCATGACTCAAAATCCGAAAGGCAATGAGAAACTACACGTGATGGTGCCTATGACAACCAATGTTCAATGGTGGGGTGTCGGCAGTAGTGGCACAGTGGGAATGACCAAAAATGCTGAAAGAAGATGCTCTAGTTCAAAATGAGCTTTGACGTAAATGGGAGGTGGTGCTCACCACCAATGACAAAGTTTATGCAAATATCATAATAGCAGCTATGGCAGTGTGGGTATCAGAATGATTCAACCCACTGATACATTCCTTAAGACAGTGTGCTCTGGGACTTGTCTTCAATGAAGCTGTGTGAATATACTCTACTCCTGATCACTGCCTCACCATCTTCTCCACAGCTTGAAGAGCTTGACTACTGGAGGTATTAACAACCAGGGCTTTGGCATCTGAGCCCAGAAACATACAAGACCTCAGAATTCCTGCCTTGAACTCCTCTAACAAACTCCTACTTATCCATCCAAACCCAGATCAGAGTTAAACCAACATTTCATCTATGCTATACCTCTACTACATACTTTATTTACTCACTTGCTAATCATTTATTGCATATCTAATATGAGCTAAACAAGAGAATTTTGATTATTTTTATAAAGTTTATAAAAATCCATTTCAACTCAAAGGGCATTGTGACACTGTTTTGTTTTGAGATACACACACACACACACATACGTAAGGTGTATATATATACACACATATATATATAGAGAGAGGTTAATAAGAAACAAACAGATCTTCATTATGTAACTAGGTGCCTGGACAGACACTTGCTTATGTGTTTTTCTGCCCTTCTCTTCATCCCTTCACTTCTTTTAAATTTATAAATACTGAATGGGGAGCAATTGCCTTTCCAGGCTCATTTAAAGATGATGCCCTCTGGTGGATGGTGGTTAAGATTACACCTTTCACTATAGAGCTCTGGGTTAGTTTTTTGTTTGTTTGTCTAAATTTATCTTCAGTTGTTTATTTTTGAGAGAGAGAGAGAGAGAGGGTGACTGGGGGAGGAGCAGAGAAAGAGGGAGACACAGATAATGGGAGAGGGGAAGGGGGAAAAAAGTTACAGAGAGGGAGGGAGGCAAATCGTAAGAGACTCTTAAATACTGAGAACAAACTGAGGGTTGATGGGGGTTGGGGGAGAGGGGAAAGTGGGTGATAGGCATTGAGGAGGGCACTTGTTGAGATGAGCATTGGGTGTTGTATGGAAACCAATTTGACAACAAATTATATTTTAAAAAATAAAAACAAATTAAACAAACAAATAAATAAATTTATCTTCAGTTGGTCTTACATTCCAAAGTGATTAGGATTACATCAGAGTGCTCATACCTACTATGATGTGAAGAATACAGAAAGATCCTTTCATCCAAACATCAGACCTGTCTATTCCACCATTATATTAGGCCTCAGTAATAATCTTTTGTGGCTTTGTAGGACCCTGCTAATATTTATTATTTTACCTCAAAAGTACATATTGTGAGACATAATAATATTTGGAGGCATTAATTACCAGAGATTAGTTCATCAGTGTCTAATAGGACCTCAAAAAAAGTACTCAGAAACGGACAGATCTGTCGACAGGTGACTTTGATATCTCTTCAACTTTTATCTTTGCAGAGAGATAATATCTTAAAATATTAATATTTGAGCTTTTTTTGGTAAAAAGTTATTTACAATAACTTTCCCCCCAATTAATGAAAGACATTGCCTCAAGATGAGGTTGTGCTGTAATTGTAAACAAGAAGAACCAATTTTTAGGTTAAAAATATCCTAAATATGCCCTTAGTACAAAAATAGGAGGCCTGAGAGAAGTAGAAAATAGAATTTTGCCATATCACTAGGAAAGAGTATAGAGGAAAAACAGATTCCCTACCTTCCCAAGCTCAGGACACTAGAGGAGGTTCAACTATGCGTTGGGAAGGAAGGGCTGCAAGGCTAGGTAAGGCCTGAAAAATACCCAAGTTGTGGGGGAGAGACAAGGGGATGGGACCCAGAGGTGACAACTGGAAACAGGGCAGAACCTACAGAGAAAACTGCAGAGCTCCACTGGTCACCAGAACCAAGAAGAAGCACAGAAGCTGAACTAATGCCTGATAAATATTTTATTCCACCCCAGGGACCACTGCTTATCTCCAATGGAGAGTAGCATTGTTACCTGATCAAATATCCTACTGGTGCAAGATGTAAGCCTTCCATGGAAAGCCACCTGCTGGTCACATGCCTGCCATCCCACATTCGGAGACATTGCTGACTCCCATCAAAACGACACTGGGAAGCACCCCCGCCCTTTGCAACAACTCAGGATGCTCAGAAGCCCCCCAAACCATAGGGTAGAGAAACTTCATAACCAGACAATAATTCATCCCTGCTACACTTTAATATTTGAGCAGGAAAATTAACAAGGAAGAGTAAGGCCAGAGCCAAAAAAAAGATGGGTATGTCTAGTTCTCTTAGGAACCAGAAGAAAAGGGGGAACTAGAAGGATGATGAACCCCTGGAACCCCTCCCCAGCCTCACTCTGTCCTAAGCCTGGATATTATAGCCATGACCAAGAGTAAGGGAAGCTTGACAGATTCTCCATGTCCTGGGGATGGCAAGGAAAGAAGCATAACAGGTGGTATGAAGACATTCTTTTCCAAGTTGCCAATAATTTAACTTTACTACTCAGAATTCCACCTCCCTTGACACCCTGATATAGCATTATGTGACATAGCTAAATGTCTGGCTATCTTAAGCCAGTTTTTAACCCTTTGAGGTGTGTACAGAGCAATGGGCTGATCGCTGATCTACCCAGGGAGAAGAACCTAACAGACTTTACACTCAGGGAGACTGATCGATAAATTCTGGAAGCCTGAGTCCTTCTGAGCCCTCACTCTGTGCAAGGTGTTACTCTGTTCTGCTAGACTCTGCAGAAGAAATTGCCTTCAAGGATTGTGCTGGTGTTACCATGGCATCACATATGTCCAGACTTATCAAAATGCATACATTAAATATGCATGATTGTTTTTATATTAAGTATATCTTAATAAAGCTGAAAATAAAGGATCTCTTAGATAAATCATAATCTGAAGAAAGAATTCAACAATAGTTTCCCAAGTTCTTTATAGTTAAAATAATAGTTTAGATTTAGTATGGGCATTGAAGAGATCCAGAAAAAAAAAGGGTAAGAAGGTGGTTATTATGAGTAAATTATTATGATGTGCTAATGTAACTAGAGGTCAGTATTCTCTGGGGTGGGTGAGGAGATTTATAAAGACCCAAAGGCAGGATATAGTACATTTATTTTCATGCTCTCCTGGGAGGGATGTGAAGAGTACAGATAGGAGCAAGCCAAGCAGAATGCCTTGGTTGGAGTTGAGGAGAGTCAGGAGAGGTGGGGGAAATAATTGCGAAGATGAGAGTGAAGGTCAGAGTGACATGCCTCTTGTGTTTCATTTGCCTTGCCTCCGCATCCTGCTCAGCAAATAAGACTAAGGGGTCTTAGTCAGAAGGGGTGAGGGGTATGCCCATCCCAACAGAGTCTGTTGCCTCAGTCATCTTTCTCGCTGACCCCTGCACTTCCCACAACTTCTCTTCCAGGTATTCCCGAATGTGCAGGTGACAGGAACCATTCCTGGCTTATCCAGGTTCAGACTGTGAAAAAATGTAACAATACCACAAAAAAGAGAAGCCATAGACCCAGATCATCAAAATGGCAATGGAAGCTACATGCCAGCAGAAGAAGGTGGTAACAAATATAATGTTGTTTTTGTCATCATCCATCCATTGATAACCAGAAATTGGTTTGTACAGCATAAAACCTATCTGAATCAGCCAAGAGCCTGTCATCATATAAAAAAAGGCCTTCATCACCCAGAGTTGCAGCACATCAGGGGCCCACAGCTCTGCGATCGCCACCAAGGCCAACAGGAATATGGCCTGAGTGAGCAGGATATGAGACTGCAGCTCCACACCTTCTGAGTCCTGCGTGTGAGACACCATCAGAGGCAGAAACAGAAACATGCCCAGCGCTTGGGCACCTTGCTCCAGAGCAGCACACCTCTGGCGCAGCACATTCTGGCTTACCACATCTACACACCCACTCAGGAAGAAGGTCATATATAGAGTGAGATGCTGCCACTGTTTGCGATACAAAAAGTTTCTCTGATGATATATCTTGCTGATAAGTACAAACTGTCCATGTATGTTATGCAGCTCGTGGGCTACTAAAATGCAGGCACTTAATATCTTCACCAGCCCAATATAGTATATTTGTCGCAGCCTTGCCCATCTTCCTTTGCTCCAAGGATGGCGTGGCAGATACTGGACAGGGCGGTTGCGTATCAAGGCCCTGGAGACCAGTTGTGTATGATAAAGTCCATAGAAGACGAGGCACAGCCCTGGGTACAGATGACCCTCAAAGCCTCCCATGGAGCTGAAGGTAGGTCTGACCAAAGGCAGAAGAGGCAAGCAGTTCAGGAATGGTCACCTCAGGTTCTAGAGTGTGGAGGTAGCTTCCTGAAGTCTACTTATATCCTCTCTCCAGCTCATTGCATCCACATACAGAGTGGTAATGGTTTTGGAGGAAACCCAAACTTATGGTGGGGTGGGTGTCATGGTTTCCGTTCTGATCTTCTGCTCTGGTTCATTGGTAGCTAACCATCCATTGCAAAACAATGAAATAAACATATTCTCCATCACAATGCCTGGATGTCTGCAGTTCTTGGAGATTATGCTAAAGAACCCCCTTGCCTCTCTTACTTGTCCTTGATGCCATTGCTACCTTCTTTACTTCCCTTTCAAATTCACAGAGCATAAGGAAGAACTGAGAGAAAGCATGGAGAACACACAATGTCAGGCACATCTCTTATGACTCCTCGCATATAATCTCATATAAATACCAGGTGCAGATGTATTCCCCTGAGTATAAACAGTCTTAAGAGTCACAAGTAAACCTACACAATACCCAATTACTTTAATGTTATTTGAGGATTGCCAGATAGGTGTTCACTCCTGAGAATCTCTCTTCTACTGATCTCCAGATCAGAAGTGAGGTGCCACCACCTGAGATTCTTTCCTTTGGGCTGAAGCAATGTTTTTCCAACTTAAAATGCAGGTGAACAGGTTCTACTCAGAGGTACTGATTTGGAATTTCTTGAGGGTGGTGTCTTATAATAAGCATTCCAAGAAACATTCTTAGGCACACTAAATTTTGAGAATCACTGAGTAAAATGTAAGTACTGGTAAGAAAGAAGATCCTGTTGGGGTGCCTGGGTAATTGTCCGACTTCAGCTCTGGTCATGATCTCATAGTTCATGTGTTCAAGCCCTGCATCGGGCTCTGTGCTGACAGCTCAGAGCCTGGACCCTGCTTCCAGTTTTGTGTCTCTTTCTCTTCTGCCCCTCTCCCACTTGTGGTTTATCTCTCTCTGTATCTTAAAAATAAATACACGTAAAATTTTTTTTTTTATGTTTTATTTATTTTTGAGAGAGAGAGAGAGAGAGAGCAGGGGAGGGTCAGAGAGAGAGGGAGATACAGAATCCAAAGACAGGCTCCAGGCTCTGAGCTGTCAGCACAAAGCCCAACGCGGGGCTCAAACCCACAAACCGTGAGATCATAACCTGAGCTGAAGCCGGATGCTCAACTGACTGAGCCACCCAGGCGCCCCTAAAAAATTTTTAAAAAAAGAAAGAAGATCCTATTAATCCAGTAACCTTAGTGTCAATTAGCCATCAAATATTTTCTCTCATGACAGAAGCATTTAGTTAGAATGAAATGGATATATTACCCTTCATGACAGTCAATCAAGTACAAGAATGTCTCAAGTTAAATTAGTGCCATATTGTTCCTATAGATTTCCATTTTGATTTATTTATTGGTAAACTCTCTTTTGTTCCTAGTACCAATGGATCTTCCATTTTATTTTATCATGTTTACTAATATAAAAAACTAAAATTTTATTTTGATTTTTATATTAATCATCATGCTGCATGTAGCTACTGCTCTTACTAATTTTCAAATGATTTTATATAATCATGTTATCTTCAATAATGAAAACGTAATCTCCTTTTAGACATACTTTTGTCTTTTCTAATTGGCTTTTCCTATTTCATTAGCATGATAGAATTCTATTGTTTTAACTATGAAATTTCCTGGGAAGTGTCTCCTCAAGCCATGGGGTTTTAGTGGGAGCTGTCATTTTTTGATAAATCCTGCTTTCCTAGCCATAGATCAATCAGTCAAGGAATGAGCACCTAACCCAGCGAGGCTAATCTAAGCCCTTCAGCAAAAAATTTTTTTTTTTTTGTTTGTTTGTTTTTTATTCATTTTTATTTTTCTTTTATTTTTTTATTTATTTATTTTTTTTTTACAAATAGTTTATTGTCAAATTAGTTTCTACATAACACTCAGTGCTCATCCCCAAAGTGCCCTCCTTCATGCCCATCCCCCCCCCCCCCCACATCCATCAGTCCTCAGTTTTTGTCAGCATTCAAGAGTCTCTCATGGTTTGCCTCTCTCCCTTTCCCCCACCATTTCCGCCCTTCTTCTCCCCCTTGGTCCTCCGTCAAGTTCCTCCTAATCCTCCTATACGTGCAAACATATGGTATTTGTCCTTCTCTGCCTGACTTATTTCGCTCAGCATAACACCCTCAAGGTCCATCCATGTTGCTACACATGGCCAGATTTCATTGTTTCTCATTGCCATGTAGTATTTCATGGTATAGATAAACCACATCTTCTTGATCCATTCGTCTGTTGATGGACACTTAGGCTCTTTCCATGTTTTAGCTATTGTGGAGAGTTCAGCAAAAAATTTTTTAACCAAAAAAAAAAAACCCCAGCTATCAGACTCTTCATAGATTACATCAATTCTGTTCATAGCAGAACTAATTAGCATATTTGAATTTAATTTCCTTCTCCATGGATCCAATAACATATTAGTTATCTGTTGCTGTGTAACAATTTAACACAATTTAACTTAGTGGCTTAAAACATCATGCATTCATCTCAGTTTCTGTGGGTCAGGATACAGACAGATATCTATGGGACCTCTGCTCATGAGTCTTACGAGGTACAGTCATGGTGACAGCCGGGTTGCATTTCATGCTGAAGCTGAGTCCTCTTCCGAGCTCACATGGTTGTAGCAGAATTCTGTAGGGCTGAGGTCCTATTTGATTGCTAAGCTGTCATTTCACATGTACCAGATCAACAAAAATTAGCTTGACAATGTGAAATAAATAGAATGATTAATACATTGCTAGTGGAAATATAAGTTGATACAATCACTTTGGAAGAGGATTTGATGTTATATGGCATTATATAGTAAAGTTGAAGATACATATTCTTACTTTTATAATCTATACAGTAACTCTCATGCATGCATACCAGGATCATATTTAGGACTCTCCATTACAGCACTGTCTGTAACTGGCAGAGAGAAGGAGGAATTATCAAAATGTCTTTCAGTATTAAAATGTATAGATAAATTTTTCTTATTCATAAAATGAAAATGATAGAAAAGTAAAAATGAAAAATGAAAAATACAGCTAAAGTCAACAACATTGTGAGAGTTAATTTTATATGACAGCTTGACTGGGCCACAGGGTGCCCAGGTTAAACATTTATTTCTGGATGTGTCTGTGAGATTAACATTTGAACCAGTGAATTTAGTAAAGTTGATTGTCCACCCCAATATGGGTGGGCCTCAGTGTGGGTGGGCTAGGCCTTGAGAACCTAAATAGAGCAAAAGGCAGAGGAAGATGGATTCATCCCTTTTTCTTTCTGCCTGTCTACTGGACGGGGACATAGTCTTCTTTTGCCCATGTACTGGGGTTTATACCATCAGTTCCCCTGGCTCTCAAGTCTGTGGCCTCTGACTGCAATTATGCTACAATGTCTCCAAACTAGTGACAGTGAATGGTGGGATTTCTGTACCTCCCTAATCACATGAGCCATTTCCTCATGGTCAATCTCCTTAATGTATATGCCTATTGGTTCTTCTGTTCTACAGAACTCTGACTGATACCAATATGGAACTTCAACATAATTTTAGATGAAAAAAGAATGTCACAAAAGAATATAAACTGTATGATTCTATATTTATATGTATGTACATATAAAGTTTATATATATAAAGTTCAAAAACACACAAAACTAAACAATGTGAACACATATGCAGAACATAAATCAATTTCAGGAAAATGGTTACCTCCCAGAGGAGAAGAATAGGATGGATTTGAGAGGGACACAGAGGCATGGAAAATAGCAATGTTCTTATAGTTGGTGGGGACCACAGGAGAGTTGCTTGTATCCCACAGGAGAGTTGCTTGTATCCCAACTCTAGACTTTACATGTATTCTGTAAATGTTATTTTTTTTATCTATTCAATATTAATTTTTTATTTGAGAGAGAGAGAGAAAGAGCATGAGTGGGGGGGGGGAGAGGGGCAGAAAAAGAGAAAGAGAGAATCTCAAGCAGGCTTCCTGATGTGGGGCTTGATCCCACCACCCTGGGATCATGGCCTGAGCCGGAGCCACCCAGGTGCCCCAATATTAATTTGTTTTTACAGAAGTAAGAAGACTAAGTAGAAGTGCTGTGAAGGTAAATATGATTTGATGTCTATTAAGTCTACGTTAGGGTGAGAAGTTGGGAAGACAGCTATTTGCAATGGGCCTCTCCAAGTGCCAAAATGAATCTTTCTCTAGGATGTCAACACTTATATATATCATTCTACAACTGGCTGTTTTTCACTCAGTCATGGAATGTGTTGGAGGCAGAGCTATTTTGTTATACGGTGGCAGCACTGATTCATTTTAATATTATGTTCTTTATCTAGCCCCCTAATGATGGACATGTTGGTCTAGCTGATTTATTTTTTTAACAAATAATGCTGAGTAAATATTCTTCTTTAGATTACATTACCATAAACAGCATTTCTGAGTCACAGACTACTTTTTTAATTTAAAATTTAGTGATAAATCTCCCTTCAAAATGGTCATACCAATTTCCACTCACCCTTACAATATATTAATCAACAAGTTCTCTGGATTATTTATCCCCACCTACTGTCCTTGTCCAAGCATCAACAACTCTGCATTGTTGCAACATCTCTTAACTGGGTTCCAATCCTCATCTATTCCTATCCATATTGCAGCTTTGGGAATAGAGAGCTAATAATTTAAATTCCCCAGTATCATCCCATTGCCTTATGGATAAAATCCATGCCCTTAGAATAAGCTTGAAGTTGCCTCTTACTTTGGCCTGGCCTCATTTCCAGCCCTTCCCCACATGTACCGTTGTCTCTAGACATATCAGAAGCCTCCAGTTCAGTCTGGATTGGTCTTTCTGTTCCACATTCTTTCTCTATCTGGTAAACTCCTCCTTTCTCCTTTAAAGCTCAGCTCAAGTACAGTCTCCTCCCTACTAGAAAG